CGGTCCCCTACACGCTCCTAAAGTTTTGACATTTAAATTGGGGACACCCTGTATATGCGATTTTTTCCCCATTTCGATGAAAGCGCTCCTTTGTTATAACAGAAACAGTAGATTATACAATACTAATATAGAAAAAATTATGTTTATAATATTTTTAATCCTTCAGTTGTGATTATGAAATATCGTTTACGTGCATAATTATCCGCATATTAAATCGATTAAACTTGAAATACATGTATAGTATAATCACGACGTTACTGAACTTAACGCGACGCGAGTGATTCCGAATAGCTAACAGCAACATCGTTACGTTGCCCAGCGTTTTCCATAAATCTCGGGCACCAACAGCCGTACGTGGATGACGACGTGCACATTTACGGGAGCGTAAGGCCCGACAGGCCGTCGCACGGCCAGGGGGGCGCCCATCGGCCCCCCCCTGCGTTCAACAAGCCGACGAGTCTTTACGATCCGTCTTACGCGATCTGGAACTACGATCGGCCGAATGATCTCGGCCACGATCGACCTACGTACACCACTCGTCCTCCGTACACCACTCGTCCTCCGTATCACGCGGTCCAGGTGGACTATCTCCAGGACGAGTACGACGGTGCCTATCCGCCCGCCGCTTCCGGCGTACACGTGCCGGCAATCGAGGACTCGTCCAACGCCGCCGTGGACTACTCTAGATATCGTGGTAATCGCACGAGAATGCACACGCAGACTGTTGCACCGATATGTGTCGAGCACGATGTGTGTCGAGATTTTTATGAAATCGATTAATCGGCGAGTTCGGATTCCGATGTTATGTAGGCTTGCAGAACTTTTGCCATGCGTTAACATGGAAATCTGAACTCATCGAAGTTACAATTAAAATAGTTTTAATGCCTAATATCGAGCTTATGCATTTTTTCTTATGCTCGTTGCGCTTCGATCGTTGCAGCGGACTGAAATTTTCAAAGTCTACTTGATTATTGGCTCGGATACGCTCGATGTCGACTAAACTATAATCGATCGACAAAGCACTAGATTAGAAAACAGATGTTATTATACGATCTAATAGATAACTATTGGATACGATAAAAAAAAAATAGTAGGACCTTAAAGCGTGCAGAGATCACGGATATACAGAATTATAGCTTCAACGAAAATCATTACGAAATACACGAGACGAACTGTGACGAGTTTTATAAAATAGATGATTCATAAATATATATATAGATATTTACTATTAAATATATTTAAATATAAATTGAAATAAATTATCGATCTATAATGATCTCAATAATCGAAAAGTTTCATGATCGAGACAATATCCAAACAAGCACGCAATCCTTTGCACGGAAACTGCACGAGAATGAGTACTTCCGCCGTCACATCGCACATTCTACCGCACAAAGCTGCCGGAAAACGATCAGAAAATTGGATTTGTGAAGAAAAAATGAGAGAACGCTGGAAAAGGTGAAACTTGACTGTACAGAAGACAAAAAACGAAAGACAGAAAAAGTGAGAAACGTGAAAGACAATACTGAATAGAAGACTGCACAACGGAACACGGAAGAAATAAATAATCGCATTCTTAATAATTCTCTGGTTTTCTTAAATATTAAATTGTAAAATAGAAATATGAGATATGATAAGAATAATTGAAATATAAAAGTTGATTGGAATTTTAATATTTTTGAGAAAAATATAAAACCTTTAAACATATATGTGTGTGTCTATCATTTGTATTTATATATGCAATTGTATTCACATATTTATATTTATAAAGATTCTATTCGTGACTGATTACTGCAAGATTTTCTTGCAATAGTCTTGATTAATATATATCGCGGTAATAAATTTACAATATATTCTCTGAAATTGCGTGAACTTTCTACGCTTATATTAACTCGCTATACTTATTTTCTGCTTTCTGTCTCTCGCCAAGGCGCAAGCAACACTCCACAAAGAAAGTTTAACTGCACACAATATAATTGTAGAAAGTATCAGTTAAAAAATTTTCAGCATAAACTTATCCTCTCTACATCTCGTATTTTCATTTTCTTCTTTACGACGCGAATCGCACAAGCAGCAACTCTTCAATCTTTCGTCTCATCCAACGAAACGTCACCTCGCGTCACATAATGTCACTATCACAAATTATCAGGCACTTACTCTCTTACATTTATTTTCGATCGTTAATAACGTCGTCTCGTTTCAGGCTGCGGCGAGCTCTACACTAGGAGCAACAGGATTGTCGGTGGCCACTCGTCCAGTTTCGGCAGCCATCCGTGGCAGGTGAGGTCCTTCTCGTGCAGTTTCCTCCTCCTTGTCGCTGCTCGGCCACCATAAATATCTCTCGCACGGCTCTCGCCGAGCGACACACTCTTCCTTTCCTCTGCATTATTCATCGAAAACGAGCCATCAATTTCCGCGTCTAAGCGAGAAGGAAAGAGAGAGAGAGAGAGAGAGAGAAAGAAAGAGAGAGAGAGAGAGGGGGGAAGACCAAAAGAGCGAGAAGGAAATAACTATTTCTAGAACCAAAGGAGAAATGGAAAGAGAAAGGAGAGCAAATGGGGACCAAGGTAGATAGGAGACAGGGGGGAGGTGGAATCTGGACAGGAGTCCTGAAGAGCTTTGAAAAGCGTGGTAGCCGCCGGAAGTCTTATAAACAATCCCGGGAGCGACGGAAACACACCGGGACCGAACTATCCCCGACCTCGCGCAAAGAGGATCAATGGAGAATGGAATGCGTGTAAACAACGGAGAGCTGTTACGTATATGTGTGTCTGTATGTACGTATGTATATGTGCACATGGGAGGTCATCTCTCTCTCTCTCTCTCTCTCTCTCTCTCTTTCTCACTC